CCAAAAATAAAAATAGGAAGGTATTAGAGATGAAACGAAAGATTTTGAAATCAGAAAAAATAAAAGCAATATATTCGTACACATAAATTTATATTTACACACAGGCACTATATATTTATATGTATGTTAATATGGGCATATATAAAAAAATGTATCTGTGAAATCTTTTCAGAAAAAAAAAGAATATCTAATAAATAGCGCAACAAAATTTTTCCGAATTATGAAAATTTCGAAATGTTTTCGAAATACGCTCGTAGCGTTACATGAGGTCAAGCAAACGAAGCATGTGATTGGGAATTGCGAAAAACAGAGAAGCAGAAAAACGAAGATGTGCAACTATATACAAGTATATACATACATATACTCGTTATATATATAAAGATGGTATAAAAAATATATACTTAGGCAATATTTTCAATTTGATTTAAAACAATAGAATTCGCGCTAATTTTAATACTAAAGAAGGGCACCGCTGATACTTGCGAGTTATTAGAAACGAAAATCATTAAATTATTTTAATTTTGGCTAAATTTTAAATTGCTTATTTATTGGCAAGAAAAAGTTTCTAGGAAATATTGCATCAAATCCGAACTAACAAAACTTTTCATCTGCTGGCATCGATTCGGCAAAACGCGAAGCGCGACGAAACGAACAAACCACTGGTATAAATCAAACTTATAGCCTTATCTAAATGACATTTTTTGGCAATGTATGTGGATAAGTAGGTAACCTACAATTTTTACAAATCAGCATTCAGTTTTGGAAAAAATAAACTATAAATTTAAATTTTTAAAAACTCATTCGCAACACGACCTTATGGAAATAAAAACACTCAGTTTTAAAACAAATCTGGTCGTCTGCAACATTTAGAAATGTTAAAAATCGCCAATAATCATATTCAGTTGAACTGCGCCCAAAACTAATAAACTGTAAATGTTTAGAATGCTACTTTTCCAAATACAAATTTCCGATAGATGTCACTCCGATTTTTAGTAATAACCTGCCGCTACCTATTGCTTTTAAGCTTAACGGCGACAATCTTCGGATTTACGACACGCATTCAGCCTGAGCCATTCGCAATAAGATTGAGTAATTTTCATGACAAAATTGTATTTTTAATTTCAAACTATCGGTATTATTAAAGTTGGTAAGCTTCCAGTTTGACATACTAATTAACTTTTTTAAAAAGGTGGTAACTCTTTTATAGAAAATTTTCAGCGCTAAAATTTCTAAAATACCTTTTGATTGGTACATACCACATATTGAAATATTTAGTGTATATTATATACTTTTTTGTTTAATTTTTTTAGAGTAGCAGCTCTGGTTTGTTGATTTTTTGTATTGTTATATATATTTTCAAATAACTCTCAATCAATATCAGACAAGCTACTCTTTTAAAACCTCGCCAAATTTTACAAATGCACTCTCTTAGATACATACATTTATGATTGGCAAAATCTGTGTTATTTTGCCACACACGACTTTTTACACAGTATGATCTCTGTTTGGTTTTAATCTCGAATATATCAGCCAAAAAGTGCGATATCGTAATAAAATATGAACTTTTTTTTAAAATAAACAATATATATGTATTTTATATACTATATTTAACAAAGATATCGAATATAAATTAATAAGCTACTTTGGAATCTTTCCCACCACGATTTAAATTCAAAACCGCGATTAACCAAAAATCCACGAAAACCCACCAATGTGTTCATCACCATAAATTTAATTGCTTTTTTATCTAAAGCAACTTCTTTTTTCATTTCTTGGATTCGTAAACCTTGAGTGCCTTGTCCTTAAAGATTTGCACGAACTTCAAATCAAGCAAACATTATAAAATTCAATGAAAAACAAAAAAAAAATGCTGAAGTAAGGATTCACATTGTGGTTAGAGACAAGGCAATAACCACATACATTCGCATATATAAAAGAAACACACACACTGTAACAGCGAAAAGCAGTTGCATGTGCAAAACTGACAAAACGCCTTCAACCGCGAAAACGTCACTGACTCGATGCCGTCGGCAAGCGCCAATGCCAGGCGAGAGCGCGACGGAACGACAACAAAATGACAAGGGCTAGGACATAGAAATATGCACACACACATACTTAGATAATGTATATGCACATATGTATGTACCATATATGTGAGGGCAAAAACACGATGCTAGTTGAAATAAAGCCGGTAATAAAAAAGTCGATCGAACAGAAGTAATGACGTCATTATTTTATGAAATACATACATATAAATATGGACATATGTTTATAGCAACATTGAAAGGTTGCACAAGCGAGCAGCGGGAATTTTTCAAATCAGCGCCAACAAATACAACAACGTGAAAGAAGAACAAAGCGAAATTGTGCAAACATAAAAGAACCTTCAACTACCGCCACACATCCATACATAAACAATCATACGGTGTTTAGTAGTGGCAAAATATGTGATAGTGCCTTTGAAATGTAATAATACATACATGTATGTATAAAAATATACATTTATGTGTCTATAAAAGAGCAAGTTATATATGTAAGGCATATATTAGATATCTGTATACATACATAAATATAATATACAAGTACAAGCCCTTCAGCAATTCAACGGAGCTTATTTGTGACGTCACTTCAAAAAGTGCAGTGAGTGCTTGTAGGTGAGAGCGCGGCAACTTCAAACTTACTACGAAGAGCAGTTATCTTACTTACTACCATTTGTATGACCTGATTTCAGAGAGAGTTGTGTAGAAATTCGGAAAGTACGAATGTATTAAATGTAAATATTGAACAATAGAGAGAGAGAGAGAGAGAAGGAGCACAATTATAGCACATGGCCGGTTCTAGGCGAATCTAACGACTAACGAGGTGTGTAAGCTGTTTAGAATTGCATTTAATAATATATACATTTTTTTTTAAAGATAATGATTGACAAACATTTATAATAAAATGGTGCTTAACAGTTTTTTTTTCACATTGTACTATATATGTACATATGTCAATCAGTTGAGGGCCCGTTGAAAGCATGAAAATTAAGAAAACAAACTATTTAAAAAAAATATTATTTTTTTAACTTTCAATGCCGAAAATTAAAAAAATAAGGGGGCAACCCTGCTTAAATATAGTTCATTGCTCTATGTATTAAAAACCCGCTTGAAAGCATAATAATTGAGAAACTAAATTATTTTTAAAAAATATTATGTTTAAAACTTTTAATGACAAAATTTTTTAAAAATAAGGTGGCAACCCTGCTGGAACATTTTTAATTAGTGTTTATAATTATACCAAAGCGTTCAAGCAAATTGTTTCTTACATTAAAATTACTATAAATTGGGAAAACTTCGTTTTTTTCCATAATAAGGTGGCAACTATATTTGCTGATTTTAAAACTTTTTCTGCAGTTATTGTATCATATAACCATAGAATACAATATTAGCAAAATTCTTTTAAAATTAAAAATTAATATTATTCGAAAATTATATTTTAAGATATGGTTAGGAAAATATTTCTATTAACATAAAAGCTTCCTTTAAAGCTTTCAACTAATAGCCAAAATAAAAATAAAATCTTTACTTCATTAAATTATTTAAAAAAAGTTTAACGTGGGGCAATATTGTCAAAAAAAACTTTAACAGAAATCTTTCTGCAAATTATTTGATTTGATACCATTGATCTTGCATTTCAACTTCATACAAAATTCAACAAATTATTATTTTTTAAAAAAGGTGGTAACTTCAAAAGTTCATAATTGCACGATTTTAACAGCCTTTTATCCTTTTAAATTTGTTGAAGTAAAAATTTTAGATAGGTGGTAACTCTATAAAAATACTTTTTAACGTAAACCTTCGTGAACCTTCCTGACACCCATATTTTGCGATAATTTTATATTATAATTTTATTACATAAAAATCTCAGTTATTCCTACGAATTTCTTTTTTATTTTACTTATGATTTCTATTTCTTACAATCCTATTATAAGTTTATATTTCATAACGCGAGGCCATCCATAATTCCAGTTTATAAGCATACTTTCTCTGTGGTCCTATTATCTTTCGATTCTAAACTAAATTTTGCTACACCATGGCTTTATATTTTATGCCCTATTGTATTATCTTGACCTTAACTTCCTTACACTTTCCTTGTTAACTTCATATTGCTATCTTAGTTAACCCCTTTTTCTATTTTTCTATTATTTCAATTCCATTTTCTTTTAACCTAACTATTCAGACAATATTTAAATCAATATACTTTGGAATTTTACTGTAATATTTTGAGTGAGTAATAAAAGAGGATATCCCAAACGATATTAATTTTTTTCTAACTTTATTTCTTGTATCAATTCCGCGCCTCAAAATATTAACTACAACACTTGGGCCCAATATTTATAACGCCCGAGAGCGAATATACGCTTTGAAAAGCTCACGCTGAGAGTCGGCAAATAAGTATATTGGCACGTCGCACAAGAAAGTTGCTGACGAAGCTATGAGTACACGATATGTTTACGAGAAGGAGCTCGTATCGTGCGGGCATTGGCCTCGTGAGCGTGCTGCCAACGTCGCTGTCGCTGCGAAACGCAAATGCAGTCTACAAATGCTTACAAAGTGCAGTGAAAAAGGAAAACAAACAAAAAAAAAAATAAAAAAAAAAAACAGTTGGTAGAGAAATAGGGAAAAGGGGAGATGCATTATGAATATAAAGATTGCGGAGAGAGAGAGAGAGCGGTGGAGGAAATTAAATACAACCGCGAAAAGCACAGTCGACTGGCCACGCAGGAAGCATACCTCCAACGGGAATGCATTTGCGGGATTTAATTTTTGATGCCATCTTTCGCATTGCAGTCGAGTGCACAAATTCCGAAGTATTTAAATACAGAAGCGCGAGCCAAAATACACACACACACGCATACACAACCAAAATGCCGGCTATGCGACGCAGCTGCTTGGCACAAAGCCCACTGCGGCAGCGACTGCGGCAGCGCGTCGACGACAGACAGCGGGAGGCAAAGACCACAAGTAGCTGCTTTCGACTAACGGAACATTCATTTCGGAAAATTCAGTTCATAGCCGACACACAACGCGTGCAGACGACAAACGAAGCTAACGGGAAATATAAAGAATATATTTATTTTTTTGGCGAAAAGGCAAATTGTCGCTGTGTTGAGACCAGAGTGTCGAAATACATGAGTGTGTGTGTACAAGTATAGGTGTTATTCTAATTATAATATGTGAATATTGAGCAAAGGAAAGTGTGGAAAAAATACAACAGCAACAAAATAGTAGAGCACCGGTGTCTATTTTCGTAGTAATAATTTTTTCAAATTTACGCAAAAAGAAAAGAGAAGCAAAAAATTTTCGACTAACGCAGTAGAAAAGCAACAACAATAAGCACACCAGCACGCAAAAACGATTATTGAAACATTGTAACGGTAAGCGGAAATTGCACGGCACTCAACGGACGTTTGTTTTGGCCGTTAACGGTTTATATTTTGCGAACGTGAGTTTAGTCGTTAGAAAGCGCATTCGCCGGCGCCCAATTGTGGTTGATGTGCAGTGAATTTAGCAGCACCAGCACACACACATTCACCGTTAAATAGTTGCAAAAAATTTTAAAGCGCGGCAGCAAATGCTCCAAAACTACGACAAACACAAAGTTGTTGTTGCTAAAGGTGGCAAACGCTTTATTTATTTTTTTATCAATTTTGCGCGTAAAAGTGTAAGCAGTCGTACGTGAGCCGAAAAGTAAGTGTTTGTTGCAGCATAAACAAAAATGTGGCAGCCATAAAATTGAAATTGTTTTTTTTTTTTTTTTTTGTAGAGATTCTATAAAAAATTGCAAAAATACGTCTGTGGCATCAAAAATAGCATGCTAATGGCACGCTGTTGAACACAATAAACAATTAAGTGCCGCTACTAAACCGTAATAAATTGCAGCAATGAAAAGCGCTTTGTAAAATTGCTGTAAGAAAATCATAAAAGTTTAGTCATTTGAAATTTTAAGAATCGATATTAATGAAATGCATTTTTCAACTCGGTTTTGACAAATATATGTATGTAAAGCTGTTGAGTTGAGAAATAATAAGGTATAATATTTTTTTTATTATTCAAATAATATAAATTCAAACCTTTTAAAAAGTTTTTATTATTTATTTTTAAATCGAAAATAAATTATCAGAAAGCAAGACTATGGATTTTAGAATTAAAAATAAGTAATATTAATTGGCATTTCATTGCAACCAAGTTCATGAGTATATTGCCGTTAACTTTAGGTTTCAAAATCGAGATAACGAAAAATTCATAATCATAAAAAATATGTTTTCCCGCAGGTATCTTCTGTTGGTAGGCAATATTAAATTTAAAAGTTTATTTTTGACTTTAGAAAGTATTGACAGTTATCTTCCAAATGGAACGTCTCGAAAAGAAACGATAAAACTGTATTTCTAATTATTAGAAATCCAAGTATCTGCTAAATTTTTTGTTAAATTTTCACAAACGCAATAAGTTGTTTAGTTTCGAAACTCCTATGCAAAAGCACGAAATTTGACTCACTTTTCGAAATTTAGACTAATTTTCAAATATTTTTATAAAATTTGGTTTCAAAGTCGATGACGTTCCTTTTGATTTTCATTTTAAACAAACATTTCTATAAACCAACCACTCAATGAATAAAATATTTTTCTTCTCTTGGAAAATATGTACTCGTAGGTTCTAAGGTTAGCTATCTTCTGCCTTTTGGTATATCTAAATTTTTCGCAATTAGATAGTATATCGAAACTCTTGTTTCTAAATCTAAGCAATATTGAGTTTGTAATCAACAATTTTTGGTCGTTCTGACTCTTTCTTGTCTGGAGCACTTTTAAAAGACTTTTCTCAGCTCAGCGTTCATTGTTTGAGTTAGAAACTAAAAATGTATATATGTAAATATATAAAAAATATGTATATGTAAATATATGGTGCAACTAGACAGCTAACTGTTAGAAGTCTAAATACACACGGCTATTTAAAAAAACAAAAAATAAAACTCAAAAATACATATATCTATACAAGTATATATGTAACTCTTATAGAGCATAGAAACAAAATCTGGATAAATCGAGAACAAATAAAATCTTGTTGGATAAATGCTGGTTTTTGAGAAGTTCGGATTTTTAAAGTAACTCAAAATCGTTTCTTTTACAAACGTGTAAATTTGGAGGTTAGATAAGCTTTAGCACAGCCATTTAAAACAGAAACTGAAAGATATATGGTGGAAATAATGTAAACAGATGGAAACAGGTTTTGCACATGAGTGTATGATACATATATGTATATGATTACTTTCCTTAATAAGTAGTATTAGAACATGTAAAACAAAGCCCATTTTTATGATTATTTTTTTATAAAACAGTGGAAATCTATGTTTAAAATCTAATGGTACATTATAGTGTGACATTTTCAGAGTACTCTGTTAATTTGTATAGAGAAATATTAAAAAAATACGGCAATGGCAGCAATTACTTTGGAGCGTCTCGGAAAAAAATTGAATTGCGATGCCCCTCATAGTTCCGTACTGGATCAGCTGAAAGAAAAAACCAAATAGTTTTGAGGTTTAAACCCTTACTTCCCTCTTAAAATAATCACTGTTTTTGATCAAATTAGTTTATAAAATAGCTTAAATATAAATACACATTTCAGTAATTTCCGTGTAAGCAATGATTTGATCACTGATTTATTTGTGAAATTATAATTTCCTAATTATAAAGACTGACTATTGTATGCTTAGTTTCAACCAAAAAATGTGTTGCCACATCAAGTGTATTATTTTGAATTACGGGACTCTCATATAATCCATACCAAATGTGTTAAATATTTTTAAATAATTATAATAATAAGTTATATGAAAATAAGGTCAAAAGGGAATCAAGTGGAATTAGTCAAAACCTTTCAAAAACAAATGAGCATTAAAACGAAAAATTTTGTTTACATTTGTGGCTTTTCAGAACAAATTAAAATATCGTTATTTTTTGCTTCTTTTTACTTAAAATAAAAATATATTACGAATCCGTTGCATGTTAAAGTATTTGGCAAGTTCTAATAATTTTAATGATTTATGTATTTCTGGAGTTAACAATAAATTATATCAGAAAAATTTGTGGTTTCCCAAATGTTTATGAAATATTTGATGTATTTCACTCATAACAAAATTTAATACATTATTAAACAGCTGTTTTGTTTGAGGCCGCCATACACGAGCGTTATGTTTATGTGTATTACAGTATTTAGTATATGATTTACTACATTGGAATTATAAGCACTGAGAGTACAGTTTAATTATTACCACAAAATACTCCAAAGTGATTCCAAACAGCATTCAATCAATAATAAATGGAGAATTTCAATGCAGAAGTTGCAGTTTAAAATTGGCATTGTTGTGTTTGGTTATAAACAAGTAAATTTGAATATACATGCAAAGCTTCACCACAAATACATATGTATGTACATATGCATATGGTACATATGTGAGTTGAACAAATTGAACTGAAAATTTAAGTGCATGCAACAATTGGTTTCCACGCACACACTACCATACATCTTTCTACACACACACACACTTCTACACAAAATCTCTTCTACCATACAACGTACAGAGTAGCGCTCAAACGCAGACTACATAAAACAAAGCCATATAAAACACGCATTACGTATACGCAGCGTACAACGGCATAAACCATACATTACGAGTATGTACTACAACTATTATTAGTATTGCAAAAGTTTCATTGTTTTATTATTTTTTATTCATTTTTGTGTTTCCTTCGAAAAGTTCATTGCGCCAGAGCCACAAGTCGGCGCTCGAAACATAAATGTGGTTGAACCGCAAGCCATTTGCACGCACATATGAAAATAAACAAGCAAGCAAAACACAATTAAAGGGTGTCACACGAGCTCTATAAACTAGAATGTTTAACATAACTCAGTGGCTTTCGTGCGCCCGGATAATTATGTTGTTAGTCAACATCTTTTTGTGGCTTTGGCAGACTCTAAGAGCCACAATAATAACAAATAAAAAACAATAACTTTGTGTGGCAACACAAACTAGCAAAAACAATAACAACAAATTTCGTTTATTGTAGCAGCAAAGGCGTGCTTGGTGGCTTAATAAAAGGTTTGTGGCCTCACATATACATTTTATGTGTGTGCCTGTATATGTGTTAATGAAGCACACACATACGCGCCAGCGTTCCAGTTCATTAAGCATGTTAATTACAATATTCGCTTTTATCTTCATGGCGTACGGCCACTTCGCTTTCAGTTCGCCTTTCTTTTGTTTGCGTTCAGTGACTTCTCGGGCTGCTGCGGTGGCGTTTTTGGTGAATGGTGCGGCATTCAATTGTTGTCTGTCGCATTACCTTGGCGACGATGAAGTGGAAGGAAAGCATTGTGCTAACTTGTGGCTGCTGCAGAGATTTTTATTGCTATTTTTATCAACTTCTAAGTGAAATGCAAAGAATTCACTAATTTCCGAAAACATTAGTTTTGCTCAATTTCCACTCGATTGCGTCTTAACTATCTCCACGAACAATTAAACACAACGAGAGGTCTCTGGTTTAAAATTAGTATTGATGTTTACAAGCGCGAGGCATAAGTATAAGCAAAAGTCGTCTCGAAGAATTATACTTTTGGTAGACAACACAAGAAAAGACATCACTGTGAGGCAGCTACAAGTATATGCTATAGTTGTCAAATCTGTAAAATATGTTCAGAGATTATACCGTTGTCTTGGGCAATAATCTATGCTAAATTTCGAGTGGATATCTGGTGAAATGAAAAAGTTTTCCATACAAAAACTTGATTTTAATTGATCAGTTTGTATGGCAGCTATATGCTATAGTGAACCGATCTGAACAATTTCTTCAAAGATTATACCCATGCTTAAGACAATAATCCATTTCGGTAAGATATCTCGTCAAGTAAGAAAGTTTTCCGTACAAGGACTTAATTCTGATCGTTCAGTTTGTATGGCAGCTATATGCTATATTACTTCGATATTCGCGATTACGACAAATGAATAGCTTCATGCGGAGAAAAGGAGGCGGGCAAAATTTCAATTCAATATCTCAAAAACTGAGGGACTAGTTCATGTATTATATATACAAACAGACGGACAGATGGATATGGTATATACTTATACATACCTTTTTAAGGCTATAAAAGGCATCTTAATAGATATTAGAAGATGATGGTGGAAAATATTTTAATACCTACCAAAACTTAGAGTACCGCTAATATTCACCAGATCTCTCTTTTAAGGAAACTATCTTTGCCCTGAAAATATGCTTGCCCTGCCCTTCCTGATGCAATTTAAGGTGTCTGTCTCCTTAAAACGACTTCGGACATTCCGAGTGCTAATTTCGACTTCTTCGTGCTGCACAATCTCGCTCTTATACATTTGGCAGTTTGAAATTGATCTGAATTTCTTAACCGTTTCACTCGTTCTTCTTCTTCCTGCCAGTTCGAGCATTTACTTAGGAATCATAAAATTTTAAAAATTTTTAAATATACTTATAGATAGAAATTTTACTAAAGCCACCTTTAGCGCTTAATTCACAGAGGTTTAAATAAATGAAAATGTTACTCATACGCCAGGGCACACAAATAGCTTTGTTGAAGTGTTTACTAATAAAAGTTATTCATCTTCGTTTGTTTCAGTCATTTTCGACAGGTTTCACTTTGTAAACAAATATTTTGAAATACATTAAAAC